GTAGAGTACTCAGTTCTTCAGAAATTAAGGATCCCATTTTTTACCTTGAATCTTGGCTTTGGCTGTCAGATCCCATTGATCAACTTAGCCAGTGATTTTTTCCCTACCTAGACACACAAGAAAAAGAAACCAAGGGCACAGGCCAGGCGTGGTGGCTCACGCCTACAATCCCAACATTTTGGGAGGCTGAGGCAGGTAGATCCCCTGAGGTCAGGAGTTGGAGACCAGCTTGGCCAACATGGTGAAACCCCATCTCTACTAAAAACACAAAAATTAGCTGCACGTGGTGGCAGGCACCCATAATCTCAGCTACATGGGAGGCTGAGGCAGGAGAAGTGCTAGAACCCTGGAGATGGAGGTTGCAGACAGCTAAGATCGCACCATTGCACTCCAGCCCAGGTGACAACAGTGAGACTCTATCTCAAAAAAAATAAATAAATAAAGTACATAGACATAGAACACAAAAATCTCTGTGAATTTCCAGAAGCCAAAGTTCACACCTCCTTATTTGCCATTAACTGCCAGTTTCTGCCTGACTCAGTTAGGACTCTAACTGAATCCATGTCAGTTAATTATCAGATCCAGTCCAATTCTGGACCTAGTCCAGTTTCTGTCATGACTTCTGAACCCATTTCAGATTTAAAAATTTGATCAAATAGATTCAGATAGCTCAAAATGCAAATCCATGGAGCTTCAGAATCTGAGAATTTACCCACAATCTTCAGTTGCTTGCAAGAGAGCAGTGGTCACAGTGAGTCTGACTGGTACCATGCTTAGTCATTCTGTGCTGCTAGGGATTGCTAGCATCTCTACTTCAGATTCCACTTCTGACACCATCTGTTAAAAGATAAACTATACGAATTAAATTTAACAGAGTTTAATTGAGGAAACAATGATTCACAAATCAGGCAGCCCTTAGAACCAGAATAGGTTCAGAGAGAGTCTTTATAGACAGAAAAAGGAAAATGATGTACAGAAACAGCTGCATAGCTTACACCTTGATATTTGCCTTATTTGAACGTGGTTTGAACAGTTGCCTGCCTTTGATGGGCTGAAACACAGCAATTGGTACAAGAGTAGGTTATAGCTTGTTTACACATCTGGAGATTACAGTTCACTATGTACAGAGAAATCTTTAGGCCAAACTTTAAAAACGTAAGGTGACAGCTTTAGGTGAAACGTAATGTGACACTACCTACCAAGTGAGGATTAACTAAGATCCTTATTTTTCTTTTGAAAATCTTGACGGAATGGTTAAACTCCTTGTGTCTATTTCCTTACTTTCCAAAATTTGGCTTTTATCTCCACCACTTTTCCTCTCTTCTTCAGATTCTGTCCTCCAATTTCTTAGTGCTCAAAAATCTTCTGTTCAATTTTTTTTTAATCAGCAATTTTCACATGATCTGACTTAATCTCTTAGGCTTCCAGACCGCTATCATCTCTCCTCCCTTATGATCTTAGTGCTCTGCTAAAACTGGTTCCTGGAAGATTTCTTGTATCTTTATGCTTATCAGTTCCAATGGTCTGTTCTAAGCCATTAGTTTTCTTAAAATATGACTGCCTCCTTTTTTTTTTTTTTTTTTTCGAGATGGGGTCTCACTCTGTTACCCAGGCTGGAGTGTGGTGATACAATCACAACTCACTGCAGCCTCAACTTCCCAGGCTCAAATGATCTTCCCACCTGAGCTTCCCAAGTAGCTGGGACTACAGACATACGCCACCATGCCCAGCTAATTCTATTTTTTTGTATAGATAGGATCTCACTATGTTGCCTAGGCTGATCTCAAACTCCTGGACTCAAGCAGTCCTCTTCCCTTGGCCTCCCAAAGTTCTGGAATTACAGGCGTGAGCCACAGCACCCTGCCTACCTTCTTGACATTCTCCTCTCTTGCCTTCTGGTTCTTTAGTTCAGCTTCTTTTCCTCTTCATTATCAATCTCCTCTCCTTTGGGATTCTCACACAGTCTCAAGGGCTTCTGCTGTCACCCTTGTTTGAGAATTTTGGCTGTCGTGAAAGAACACCACCTCCACTGTGACTATTCCTACTCTGAAACGTTTAGGCTTCTCTTTGACAAAGAGTGACATTCAAAATCCGTATGACATTTATTATTAATTTTATTCATTTTTTTGAGATAGAGTCTCACTCTGTAGCCCAGGCTGGAGTGCAGTGGCATGATCTCGGCTCAGTGCAATCTCTGCCTCCTGGGTTCAAGTGTAAAATCAGAATGACATTTAATATCTTTCACTAGTCTCTTAAGTCCTTCGTCATTACTCCATTTTCACATATTCTATGCAAAGAAACTGAAGCACTGTATTCCTTCTGTCTCCCTGTCCTTTTCTTCCTGTTTCCACTCATGCAGCCCTTTACTAAGAATGCCTCCTTCCTATCTCTACCCATCTGTATCCTCTCTATTTGTGCTTGTCAATTTATGTGCAAAATACAATTGTATTATAATTATTTTGTAAATGTATTACCCCTCTGGAATCTAATTTTCTTAAGGAAATGATCCTTATCTAATTTAAATCTCTACTTATATGAAGTATGCCAATAATGAAACGTTCGTGGGTGATACAGAGACCAGTTTACCTCAAGCCCGTTCAGAATTTGCCTTGCCTTCTTCATGGCAAGAATTAGAATGTGAGAAATAAATTTTTTTGGTATTTATTTCTGTTCATCCCTTTTTATTAATCCCAAATCTCTAAATGGATGCTTTAATGATTACTTAATATATTTTTTTCCTCCAAAGTTTTTGTCTCCCTGATTTCAAGTAAAATGTCATAAGGATGGTTTATTACAATGCTACCATTATCTTATTTGGCCTCAAAAGCCAAAAAAAAAAAATTGTTTTTTGAACTTGAGTTTTTTAAAAATTTTATATTTGTTATTCACAGCTCGAATAGATGTCTCAGCATCATTGAGCCTGTGGCTCTTGTTCAGGCTAAGTGAAAATATTCAATTTCATACTTTTTAAAATTAAACACCAATAAGGAATAAAAGAAGGGAATATCTACAAACTTCATCTCTATCCTGAAGAAATCAGAGTATTTTAAGCAAAGATTACTCAGATCCTTGACTTAGGACCTCATTTGTTTTAAAAGCAAGTGAAGCAATTGTTGCTCATTATTACTTATTTTTACTAAATTCAGAATTTTCATTAAATATGAAATTAATGGCTGGGATCGGTGGCTCATGCCCGTAATCCCCGAACTTTGGGAGACCAAGGTGGATGGATCGCCTGAGGTCAGGAGTTTGAGACCAGCCTGACCAACATGGTGAAACCCCATCTCTACTACAAATACAAAAATTAGCCATGCATGGTGGCACATGCCTGTAATCCCAGCTACTTGGGGAGCTCAGGTGGGAGAACCGTTTAAGCCTGGGAAGTTTAGGCTGTAGTGAGTTGTGATTGTATCAGTGTACTCCAGCCTGGGCAACAGAGTGATACCCCATCTCAAAAAAAAAAAAGAAAGAAAGAAAGAAAGAAATTGGTTTTGGGAGTTTTTCAGTGTAAATCAAAGTATGTTGAATGCGTCCTGCCTCATCTGTTTGTTTGTTTGTTTGTTTTGAGGCAGAGTCTCACTCTGTCATCTAGGCTGGAGTGCAGTGGCACAATCTTGGCTCACTGCAACCTCTACCTCCCAGCTTTAAATGATTCTCCTGCCTCAGCCTCCCAAGTAGCTGGAACTACAGGTGCCTGCCACCACACCAAACTAGTTTTGTATTCTTTTGTTTTTTTTTTTTTTTTTTGGAGA